TTATTTTTTTGGACTATGTTATAGAAAATTTAATATTTGTTATCGACATATTTATTTTCATTCAAGTTAAAAACATCTCTGAATAATGAAATGTAATAGAGTTTGTGACTATCACTTACAGAATAGCAAAATCGTCTCAAGTCTCAAAAATTCTCTGTCAAATTTAGAGACTTRATACTGTATCATAGTACAGAATCGCACGGTAAGCTTACTAAACATATGCTAATTGAAGTGTCTTCAARGCAAAATAGTTCCGCTGTTTAATAAATATTCGAACATTACTAACTTTAAAGTCGATAACAAAAAGTAAGCGACTGTGCTATTGCGTTGCTGGCGCTTAGAAAAATAGTAAATACTGTTGTAAATGTTGTATTCAGTACATTTWATAATATATTAGCTGCTAAGTATGTTAAAAGACAAGAAAAGCGACAAAAAAAAAAATGACTAAGCGATCTTAGAACAAACAAATTACTTAATTTGAGTTAATTTGTATTTAAGTTATTTCAGTTGAGTGTGTTTTCGTTAAACGAAATATTATTTTAAAAACAGCTTATACACATTTACATTATAATTATAATTATATTATTACTATTTTGTATTTATATTATTACTATTATTAATTACTATATCAATTATACATTTTTTCAATTATTGTACAGATTTTCACTTGCTTGTAATTTCTAGGAATTTTTATTGCATTTACATTATAATTATAATTATATTATTACTATTTTGTATTTATATTATTACTATTATCAATTACTATATCAATTATACATTTTTTCAATTATTGTACAGATTTTCACTTGCTTGTAATTTCTAGGAATTTTTATTGCTAATTCATTTTTAATATATGAATATTTCAAACAAATTCGGCAACTATGTGTCCTTTTTTATTATTTTCAATTATTTTTAACATAAACATAGTTTTAACATAAAAATTCTATGTTAATGTTAAACAACATACGAAATGGCTGCAAAATGTGCTGCAACATTTTCTGTAAACATTCTGTCATCCACATGCTGTTTAATATGCTCTTCGCCTGTTTAAAAAGCCAAATGCCGACAAACAAATTCGGTGCGCCGCATATGACTGCAGCACGTTGGTAAAATTTGACAATGCACCAGGCCCCCATAAACGGCAGCAAGCAGCCACCCAGCTGCAGGCGGAAGTAGACCTTTTCCTCCTAAAACGCCTAAGCGTATGCTGCAAAATATGACACCCTGCACAAATAAGAGCAAGGAAGTTATAAAATCTACTACTGTAGCCAAGGCACAATCCTTTCAGCAAAGTTTCATACTTGCGTGTTGCCGACTGTGCTAGGATACACAGCACAGGGTGCATGAAGGCAAATGAAATGAAAACAAAATATATGGTGATCTTGTTTTTTTAGTAGATATTTATTTTTTATAATATTTTCATTACAATCTGTTTGTTATATTTTTATCAAAATTTTTGTATTATATTTTTATTATAATTTTTTAAATTTTCTATTATTAATATTTTATTATAATTTTTGTATAMATTTTAAATGTGTGCTACATAAGGAAAATAATCAAAAAGAAATTAAGCAAATGCGCATTATTTAAGGTATATTTAAAAACCTATTTACTTAGTATGTAAAGAAAACACGAAAATGTGCACAAGCAAGCTTCGCCTTGTTTGCATTTCGCTTTTAGAAATATAAGTAAGCAAATTGTATATAAAAAAGTTATTGCGCAAATTTGTAGCATATTAGATGTTAATATAACGGGCAAGAGGCTGAAATTGTAAATATGCAAARTGAAATCACTGAAGTTGTGAAAATTATTATCTAAACCAAATACTCAAAGAGTTGTAGGTGCCACTGTTACATTGCGATGCTAATCAGAGAACGGTGGTTGTCGTTAGATGGATAAATTAGAAACTTAATTTTAGTTTAGCTTAGATATAAAATACGCTCATTTGTATATGTATGTGTAATTAACTAACMGTAAGCAGTAGCAAAAATTAATTCAAGGAACTTCACGCCTCAGTCACAGAACGAAATTGACAGTGTTGTTGTTTTTGTAGYGTTTTTTGTTGATTGTTGCTTTTCATTTGTACCCACTTTTGGCCTGGATTCAAAACTAACAGTAATTCACAACACTTCTTTTGAAATTACAAGATCCAACGGTAGATAGTTCCTTCAATTGGAGTACATAAATTAATATACATACACACACATTAGCATATATGTAAATTTTAATATGGTAAATATGAAAAGTATAAAAAATAAAGAAAATAAATACTAAAAAAATAAAAATAAAAAAACATTAAAAACAAAAACATGAATACTTAAATATAAAAACTATAAACAATTCAAAAAATTGCTACATAATGCAGCAACTTAAGTAAAAACTTAAAGCCAATGGATTAATCAAAATTTTAATATTAAGCGCAACAAAACTTCTCAATGAAAGKCACAAAGGTTTTTCATGTTGTGAAAAGAGCATAGTTTGCTGAAGATGGCTCAGCTTCCCGGCATTTTATAGATTSTTATTGAACTCGTACTTTACAAATGAAATATAAATTCTTGTTTTTTTAAAGGTAATCAACTGTTGAACAAATTATTATAAGACTTATTTTCGAAAAAGACGAGTTTACGGCTAGCTGTTTCAAGTCTCTCATCTCTTAAAATGATAAGTAGATCAGCATAAAATGCGGTCATCATCGAGACGGAATCGTATTAATGATTAATTAAAAATGGCTGAGCTTGTAAGATTTTAAATG